TTTCCCTTCTCACCCTCTTACAGTCTATTCTTAACATAGCAGCAAGATAGAAAGATCATGTCACTTATCTGTTTAAAACCCTCCAGTGGCTTCCTGTCTCACTCAAGGTAAAAGTCAAAGACTAAGGAGTAGCCTACAAGACTCCACAGGGTCTGGCTACCAGAGTTCTATCTCCCTCTGACAACCTCAGTCCTGTCATTCTCTCCACTGTCCCCACACTGACTCCAAGTCTGTTCTTTACGCTTATCAAGCACACCCTGGCCTCAGGGCTTTTTTCTCACTGTAGTCTCTTAAGGAGCATCGCCTCCTTGAATGTTACTTTCTCAAACAAAACCTCTGCTAACCACTCAACATAAACTGTGACCCCATCTCCTCCCTATTCTCCTTACCCAGCTTTTCTTTTCTCCTCCACATTGCTTAGGACCTTCTGACACACAAGATAGTTTACAAGTTTGGGAGGTTTGTTGTTGACTGTTTCTCTTTCACCCTAAAACATAAACTTTCCTTGAGCAGGCATTTTTGAATGTTTTATTTGTTGCAATATCTTCACACAGCTTTGAAAATCACATATTAGGTACTCAATACATATTTATTGACCAAATAATTTGTTTGAACCCAGATTAACTATTTTAGCTCATGGAGACATGTTCCATATTGCTCATTTCCCCAAATTAGATGTGGTTCTGCTGAAATGGAGGATGTAACATACAGACTACTGCCACCAAGTTTCTTTCCAGTGTGATGTATTTGGAAATATTTTGATACCTTAAAGGAATGATAATTTTCTAAATAAAACACATTATAAAGGCTCAATGAAATATCAAAAATCTCCCAACTGATCCCCAAACAAGCTATGTGTCAAAATAGCTTTAAGGCCAGGGCAGGCTCATCACTGGAGGCCCTCATTGGAATTGATCTTTACTCCATCTTCAGTGACTAGCAGACTATATAAGGTTTTAAGGTAATGGTTACTCCAATTTCTATATGGAACACCATGATAACTCAGTAGGAGAAAAAATTAAATTCTTTTACAAATAAAGGCAAAATATATTGGGAACCCAAGCACAACCCCTTGGGTGAATTTTGTGATATCCAGTCTTAAAAATGTCTCAGACAATATAGATACTGATCAAAGAGTATCCTGAGCAACATTCAAAGAGTTGGCCATCCTGTCTAGGGCCACGATTATAATGCAAAATAATATTATAAAACTACATCTGAAATTAACATACCATATCCGTTATATCACACTAATGCAGATTCAAAACCTTAAGATTCTATCTCTGAAAAAGAAACATCAAACATCCTTTATATCTGAATTTAGCACAGCATACTCTAGCTGTTCCATTTTATTTTAGCATCAAAAGACAGCAGGGCCCAGACTTTGAAGAAATATCCTTCAAGCATTCATGTTTTAATTTGTTTTAATTTGATGTCTGTCTGTGTTCTAGGACCCCTATCCTTTCGGGATCTATGAGTAAGTGAAGGTGATCTAAATCTGAAGCTTTTGACTTCGTAAAGAGCCCTTTGCTCAGATTAGCACCACGCCAAAAGGAGCAAGACAAGAAATGACTCATGAAAGCCTACATGATCTTTAATATGACAAAGCCTTTCTCTATTTCCTGCTGTCATTCCATAAAATAACCTTATCAATTTAAACAAAACTAACCCAATGTCAAAAGTAATTGGGTAAAATTTATCTATCTCAGCATAAATTTTAATGAATTTTTTATACTCGTTACAATTCCTGAAAGTAATAGTTTGCAGTAAAAAAAGCAGGATGATTTTTTAATTTTACCTGAAGAGATATTATAGCAAGAAGCAAGAAAGAAATAAATATGAAATGGAACAGCATGTATCAGAGAGGAACTATTTTTGCAGAAGTCATAAATTTTACCCATGGTACGAAACTTTTTTTTCTGTCCAAAGGAATAGATTAATACTTTTACTAGGTAAATTATAATCATTCTTCTTATTTCATGTTCATAAAATTTATTGTGTGTTTCTATAAGCTTGAAATGACTCAGAAATAAAGAAAATACAACAGGAAAAAAAAACAAATGTTAAAAATTCTTCAATGTTGGGAGCAGGAAGGGAGCCAGGGAAAAATAAGTCTTCAAAAAATAGGCCTTTAATTTATCAAAATCCTTTCTGGGCTCACCCTTTTCCAGGTCCAAAATATGAACAAAACACTGTCAACCACAAATAGAAACACTTTGAAGAAGCTGCTGGAGTAAAATCACTTTTCAAAATGGTAATGAATAGTTCAAGTGTATGGCAGCATAGTTTAAGAAATGATTGTTAATAAATTTAGGAAACAGTAAGGATTAGGTCGCCAGGGGTTTTTTTCAATACACCACAAATGAATTTCATAATCACACATATGTATTGAAAAGATAAGAACCAGGTCATTTTACTTCAAATAAATAGGAATTTTAAATTTAGAGTCATAGGAAAAGTTAAATTTTCTTCACTTCATTTGCTTTGAAAGTTTCAAACACAAAAACTTAATAATTTCTACATATAAATTTTTAAAATGACTCAAATGCCAAATAAATTGAGAATCTGGTCATTATCCCATAATAATGAATTCCTTCATGAGAATTATAAACTCAGGCTAAATTGATAATTAATATGAGTTATTACTTTATAGCAATAAATCACAGTAATAAAGAACATAGCTTTAATAATTCGAAGATTTAAATTAATATAACTGTCAGCTCTATACTAGATATGTGACCTAGATAAGTTATTTACTAAACTTCAGTTTCTAGGTGTACAAAATAAAATAATAATATTACCAACTTCATATGGTTATAAAAATTAACTGATATAATCTATTTCAATTAATTTTTCACTATTTTGTATAACTACTAGCTCAGCTCTTGACTTGCAAAAACCATTAGTATCTGTAACTATCGTTATCATTATTATTATTACTATTCGATTACAAGGCCAATATTCTTATGTCTCCACATATAGTCTTCTGGGATCCTCTTCTGTATATTTGGTCAGGTTGTATTTCATTTCTGAAATGCCAGCTCCTTTCCTCTTCATTAAGCTAAATCCTAAACATTTCTGACAAGCCTGACATTTATAATTTCCCTCACTAACCACAACTCATAATAATCTTGCTGTTACATTAAACTCAATCAGCAATATCTTATTTATAATCCAAGTTACACAATGTTCATTTTTCTTTTACTGTTTTCTAGACATATTGAAGATTTTAAAACTCTATATAGCTTCTCAGCATTATATATTTCTTCCTGCTGCATAAAATTGAATTTTTTTAAGACAAAGAATTATCTCTTACTTCTCTTTAAAAAATAAAAAAACACAGACTTCAAAGAAAGCTAGTGTCATAGTAGGCATACAGTGAGTGTTTAATACATGCTTCTTAAGTTGAATTGTATTGCAGCATCACTAACAAGATAATGCGGGTCGCTTTATCTCTCTAACCTTACAATCATCATCCAAAATGTAACAAGAGTTAAACACACTCTCCATGATACTTTGGAGTTCTAAAACTATATTATTTCAATGCATTGAGCTGAAAATTCTCACTCTCTCCTAATGCAGGCACTTTCATAATTTTATTTTATGTATGTAACAACTATCAAATTCTGGGTGTCTAAGATCCACATTCTGAATTAGCTGGAAGCTGCAAGCCTTAGAGTTGCTTTCCACCAACAGAACTGAACTATGGTGTCACTCCTTCAAATGTTTTCCTTCTCATTCTCAGTGTAAAATAAATGCTGTTTTCACATACTTGCTCAATGGGTTGCTTCAGAGCATTTAAAAACCAACATTCCTCTTCTCACTTCTATTTCCTTACGTCCATCTTGTCTACCCTTTCTATATTTCATAATTGCTAAATATTTACTGTTTATAATAAATTGAATAATTTTCGCATATAATGGAATTTTTAATTTCCTTTTGCACTATATGTATACAGCTAAATCCATATTTAGCCTTTGGTATGGGGAGTGATCGAGCAATCAACCTGGTAGAAGGAGAAAAAATTAATAATTGTAAATGAATATGGGCAAGGGAAATAGTTTTCCAACTGGCTTGGCCATATTATATACCCAGATCTAAGATAATATTGCATTTAATACTAAAAAAATAAGCACGTAAATAAAAAAAAAAAGAAAGACGCAACAGTTACAATAATTCGTTAAACTTTAAAAAGAAGAGAACAGAATGGAGGCCACCAGAGGTGGGAAAGGGAAAGGAGGAGGGGTGGTTAGCCCTTGCTCTCGTGGTAAAAGGCCACAAAATATGATTACATGATAAATAAAAAAAAAAAAGAAAGATGCAACAGTTACAATAATTCGTTAAACTTTAAAAAGAAGAGAACAGAATGGAGGCCACCAGTGGTGGGAAAGGAAAAGGAGGAGGGGTGGTTAGCCCTTGCTCTCGTGGTAAAAGGCCACAAAATATGATTACATGGTGTAATGTTGAATATACTAATTATCCTGATTTGAGCATCATATATCGCACACAGGTATTGATATTTAATGCTGTACACCACACATATGTACAATTATATTTCAATAAATAAAATTTTAAAAACTAATCCTGTCTACCATTCTGTCAGTACAGGATATTTTGATGGAAAATAGAGTCCTTCTTATTAAGTAATCAGAAATGCATCATATTTCCAAATTTTAATGAGATCCTTTCGATTCTGTCATTGGGAATAATGGTATAATTCATATTATGTCTGAAAATAATGACCTTTGAGTCATAAATATGAAGAAGTTACCTTAGCAGGAGGATTTGCAAAAACAAAAGGTTTTATGGAAATGTGTAATTTTAGACATTATAATTCATCTCCACATTCAAACATACCAAATTCTAACCCTGTCTTGTACTTTCTCTACCTCTTTGTAGGAGCATAAATGAATAGCATAATTATTCATATTTCCCCTGCAAAAAAAGAGATTTTTCCATATTTCAAAATAAGCATGCACCATGCAACGTGCAGAAAATACCTTGGGTTTGTTATTTTCAGGGCCTGTTGACATGGAAAATGCACAAGGTGAAATCGGCTCCTTGGTTCTTGTTAGAGAGATGGGAAGTGATGGGGTCGAAACAGGTGACCTGTGGCTGGTTATTGTGCTTTCAGATTTCCCAAGTCTTGGAGGCAAAGTACCACTGCCACAGCTTGGGTGCAGTGCTGAGGGACTGAGCAGGAGCTCCTGGGTGTGCAGATTAGCACGAGGGAGAGAAGAGGACCTCAAGCTGGGAAGAGAGGCAGAGCTAGCACTGGAGATAGGGGGTGAAGGAACAGCTGGAGGCTTCAGTCCCTGGCCAGATAGTTGAGATGATGCTCCTTTGGATCTGTTTATCAGGTTTGAAAGAGCTGGGGAAGGATGGAAACATTTCTCTGGAGAGGACAGCGTGGCTCTTTGATTAATAGAAGGAGATACAGAAGATAGTACAGGGGAGGCTAAGGTAGAAAGGTGTGTGTAAATATTCCTGGGCTTTTCTGGACCCCTGAGGTCACCATCCTGTTTGGCCTTTGAAGAAGAGAGAGCAAAGCTTGGTGGAACAGGAGGAAGACCTGCAGAACTCGATGTGCTGGTTTGTAGCAAGGAGAGTGTTGTACTATTGCTCTTCAAAGAAGTGGGTGATGCTGTTTTCTCTGCACTCGAAGAAACAAGGCTGCTACTAACATGTTTTGTAGAAGAGAGGGAGGGCACCTGAGAAAGGGGAGCCGACTTGGTGAAAATGGGTAGGTGAAAGGATCGCTGGGTCAGCTCAGAGACTTGGTGCTCTCCCTGATCTGGAGATCCAGCTGTCAGGGAGCAACTTGAGAGAGATTTTTTAGGCATGGGTGGGGTTTGCTTTACTTTTTGATCTAGGGTGAGCGTGGAAGAGGCCGGGGAGTTGAGAGAGAGGGTGGGACAGGATGCAGGAGAAAAAGGTCTTTGATGAGAAGGGTTTGACTTGAGAATAGCCGTGAGAAGAGAAAGCCTAG